AGATATAATAGATATTAGTAAATTCTAAGCTGTTATCACTTCTTATACATTTTACACATCCATAAATGGATACCTGCTAAATATTTTTAGTAGCTAAAAAGGTATTACTTTTTTTTGTTTAAGAAAATAAAATGATTTGACCCAAATAGTAACATGTTGTTTTGATTGTTAATCTTTCCATGGTTGAAATTGCCAAAGACTTAAGTTGTTAGATCTGAAAGAAAAAAAATCATTAGACATTTAAACCTAATTCAAATTTAAAATTGGACCAAATTATTGGAACACCTTTTTTATATATATATATATATATATATATATTTATTTATTCCTTTATTTGTATGTATTTTCAAAGGTATAATATATACAGGGTGTACAAATTCTGAATAATTTCAGACAAATTTTAGAGAAGTTCTTGTTTTCGGCAGCAGTCTACGCAGAGAATATACTCGGCTTACTTAAATGTACAGATATAAAGGGTATCTGTTAAAATCCAATTTTGCAGATTTCCTTGTGTATCTGTTAAAGTAAATTGAGCATGACCTCTTTTTAAGACAATATTATTTGTTCTGCTATCATCTGCTAGCTCTATAATTTTTTTATATTTTATGGTTTAAATTTGTTAGTTTTAACAAAGATTTTAAAGTCATCACTAACAATGTGAATTGTCACTCTACAGTCAGCAAGTAAACTATTTATATTGAAATGGTATCAAATGTGACTGAAAATAGAAATGAATTTTCATTTTTTGTAAAATGTTGCCCATTTTTTTTCAAAATGGGCTTTTTATTTTTACACTGTACTTTTATGCCCATGTGTAACAAATGATATTGCTAGTTTAGTAAACAAAGCGCAACATTTCCTTCCAATGAAAAAAAGTCCAATTGTATCATTCTGAATTTCAGTCCTTATGAAGTGGTATTTTAGGTCTACATATTTTGAACGTTGACGGTGGACTGGGTTCTTAGCCAGAGCAATTATACCTTATCTATCACAATAGATTGTGGCTTGTTTTTTTTTTTAGTTGCATTAATTATGGTGGCTAATAATTGAATAAGGAATCTTGCTTCTTGTATTGCAGCTGTCAGTGTGATGTATTCAGTTTCACATGTCAACAATGCTATTGTAGGCTGTTTTCTCATTTTCCATGAAATCATTGAACAGTTTGGTGATAATTAGAAACCATATCCTAATACTATGGTGGTCTTTTGAATTTCTTCAATTAGCATCACAATAAAACATGTTAAAGTTAGGAGCTTATTTGAATTAACACAAAACAACATGTTTTTGCACCTTTCAAACAGTGTAAGACTTGTTTGGCCCTTATTAAGTGATCTGTGTTTGTATTTGTAGAATATTGTGACAATTTTGTTACCACATAACTTATATTTGGACAAGTAGCAGTCATAACATACATCAGGCTGCCAATTATCTCTCAGTGATATTTTCCATCTGCTGGTTCAGCATTACTTTCATCTATTAGATTGATATCTTTTTCATAAGGTGTTGATCGAGGCTTACAATCTTGCATTCTAAATTTGGTTAAAAACTTTGCAATATATTTTGTTTGATTCATCTCAATGGAGTTATTTTTAAACATACAGAAAGAAATCTTTCCAAGATCAGTCATTTGGAATTGTTCATTTAAATGTGTATTTTTACATTGATTAATGCAGAATTGCAACTTGCAGCAAAGAGTATCGTCAACCTAAACAGTCATAATCATTATTATATTAGAAGTGTTTGTTGTGTAAATACAAAAGTCTACCAATCAATTAAATATGTGTATAGGACTTTTCCAGTTTTGTACACTTTGTTTAAGTCCATATAAGGATTTCTTTAATCACCATATAAGTTTGTTATTGTTTTCGCTGGTAATGGAATAACCCTCAGGTTGTTGAACATATTCTCCACAGTCAATTGGTGCAGGTAACAATAGTTCAAGATTGCAATAAATTGCCTTGTTGATTACAAGCAATGTCTGTCCTTGTAATAGTAACAGTATATTATGTAGTGATAGACCATCTGGAGGGTGAAAGGAATTTCTTTTATAGCTTTCCAGATGGTCTCATTTAAATGTATTGTAGTCTCATCCATCTAATCAGATAGGATCTACTACAACAGTGAACATAAAAACTGATTGACAAAGAGAAACACCTTACCCCACCACCACACAACCATTTAAATTCCATCGCTTCCCATCTCCACATCTAGTTTCTTGGTGAGTACAAGTTACAACAAATTGCTTTAAAGTTCTTACTGACGATAAACAAACGTACTGTGAGGGAGAAAGTTTCAGATAATCTATTCCATGTTTTCGAAAGTAGCCTTTTGCAATGAATCTTGCTTTGAACTGTTCATTACTAGTGTCATTAGTTTTAATAGTGTAGATCTACCAACAGTTTTACTAGGTGGAAACTCTGTCAATTCATATGCATTGTTTGCTTTTAGGGCAGCTATCTTTTTTTCCATGGCATCTCAACCATTTTATAGTCATTTGAAGTAATAGCTTCACTATAATGGGTATATTCTTTCTTTACCAAACAATAATAATCTATAGTCAGATTTACTACATCATCTAAATTCTTAGCCATGTAATCTTTTAAATATTCAGGCATTTTTTATAAACTGCTTGGTCTTGGAAATATATTTCACAGTTTAAATTTGATTTATCAACAATTTTCATGCCTTCCACAACTTCTTGTCTTTCAGATTGCAGTGTCTAAGAATCTGATGGCATTGTTTTAAGTTACACACAGTACTTTTGGAGGTTACTGCAGTATTAAAATAGTGTAGGTGCCCATTTCTTTTTATTTTGAATTTCACACCATTAGGATAGATAAGTTCTGAGTAATTACATTTTATAGGAGGAGGTTTTTTGATCGCAGCTTGTAGAGAGAATATACTTTGTTTGAATGTAGAGATGTATAGAGCATCCATTAAAATGCAATGTCACATATTTCCTTCTATGTCCATTATAGTTACTTGAGCATCGCCTTTTTTTTAAAGCAATAATACTGGTGAGACTACTATCTGCTAGTTCAATATGATGATTTTTTTAGATTAAAATCATTATCGAAAGTAAAAAAATTAAGTTTCACACAGTCAACAAATAAACCGTTTTTTTGTTGAAAATGTTATATACTCCTATTGAAAACAGAAATGAATGTGCATGATTTGAGGCATGTTCCAAATTTTTTATGAAATGAAATTTCTTTTTATTTCTGTACTTCGTATTTTTATGTTCAGGTTGGTAACAAGCATGCAGATAATATTTTTGTTCAGTGGATTGCAATTATAGTGTTTTGAGGTGGAATTATTTACTGGTTAATACTGAAATTTACTCTGTCAATCAGGACTTCTATGTACAAGTTTACCACAAGTAAAACAGGTAGGAACATTAACTCATGGCTTTGATCTTGGCATTCGGAGAGTCATTACAGTGTTTTCACTGTTGTTCTCCTGAATTATCTTTTCAGTTTCTTTGGGGCTTCACAATGCTAAAAGTTAGTAGCTTGTCTTTCTGAGTAATGACAGTTGTAAATGACTTGAAATCAAACAGGAGGCCTTTTCGCATCATAGTGATTAGCAAACCACCACTAATTAATCCTGGGAAATTTTCATAAAGTGGCTATGTTTTCAGCTTTAATAATATAATCAATAATAGTTTCAGTAGTTGCTTTGCATAGGGAGGTTAATTCTGTCTACAAGGAAATTACTTTTGGTTTTCCTTTGGATAAATAGTGCTCTCTCAAAATCTGCAGTGCTTTTCTCCCATCATCAGTGGCTTTTCTCATAAGAGACACACTTTGATCATCAAGAAATTGAATTAATTCAGCAAACACATTTGCACTCTTTTTTTATAGTAGTCTTTGTCATTGGGACAATCAGATGGTGCCAAGATTGTTTTCTGTAAATTTTGGATTTGCATGTAACCCCAAAATTTTACTTCCTATAGTTTGTATTTTGATTTGTCACTGTTGAAGCAGAGTCTATACCTGGATGGATAACCTGTGGAGTGAGTAGCCATCGCAAAATGAAAGTAAATATCAGAACAGAATTAACAAAGTTTGCAACAAAACGAAAAAGGAACAGGGCAAAAAATGAATATCAAGCAAGCAAACAATATATGCAAGGCCAATTAACAGTATTGCTTATCACTTCTCCTGATGTTTTTAATAAAGTTACAGCATTTTCAGCTCTAATAATATAATCAATAATATTTATGCTATTTGTTTTCTGTAAAGTGGTTAATTCAGTATGGTGTGGAGGGAGGTTTATTTTTTTTTTATTTTTTTTTTTATAATGTTCTCTCAAAATTTGTTCTACTTTTCTACCATTGTCAGCATTCTCTCATAATAGAAGGCAGATTTTGATCATGAAAAAAATTGAATTGGTAAATGCCTCTGCATTACTTTCACAGTCAACTTGGTTATTAAAATGGTCATTTTGGATTCTCATAAATCTCAAAAATTTTACTTATCAGAATTCATATTTGGATTCATTGGCATTTAAAACAAAGCCTGTGCCTGGGTTCATAACCTTTTGAATAAATGAACATATTTTTCTTTCTTGCCTTGAAGTCAGAAGGCTATAGCTGCTTGACTATCTCATTTGCATATGGATACTGTTTATATTTTGTTTAATTTTACTTTGTCTTATAGTTGCTTTAATTAGCATTACATATCTTGTATTATTTTGCCCAGTTTTTATTCTTTTTATTATTGCTGTTATTGATAATTTAACTTAAAAATGCTTTTTTATTCAACTGACTGATTCAATTATATTGAATTTAACTATGGGGGATGAATTTTCATTTCTTTATACTTGATTCTTGAGATTTTAAAAGTCACAAAGAGAAGATAAATGATGCTATCAAGGCTGAATTGTTTAGGCAAATTTGTTTTTGGCAACTCTAAAGTTGAATTTACTTTTCTTTCTGCTCTCACTGTTTTTGTGATGGCCTCTCATCTGACAGCTCTTTCTCTTGCGTCTCTTTTCAGGCAGCCCTTCATTCTCTTGCGTCTCCTTTCAGGCAGCCCTTCATTCTCTTGCGTCTCCTTTCAGGCAGCCCTTCATTCTCTTGGGTCTCCTTTCAGGCAGCCCTTCATTCTCTTGGGTCTCCTTTCAGGAAGCCCTTCATTCTCTTGAGTCTCTTTTCAGCCAGCCCTTCTTTCACTTGGGTCTCCTTTCAGCCAGCCCTTCTTTCACTTGGGTCTCCTTTCAGCCAGCCCTTCTTTCACTTGGGTCTCCTTTCAGCCAGCCCCTTCTTTCACTTGGGTCTCCTTTCAGCCAGCCCTTCTTTCACTTGGGTCTCCTTTTCAGCCAGCCCTTCTTTCACTTGGGTCTCTTCGCGTCTCTTTTCAGCCAGCCCTTCTTTCCTTGGGTCTCCTTTTGCAGCCCTTCTTTCCTTGGGTCTCCTTTCAGCCAGCCCTTCTTTCTCTTTTGGGTCTCCTTTCAGCCAGCCCTTCTTTCACTTGGGTCTCCTTTCAGCCAGCCCTTCTTTCACTTGGGTCTCCTTTCAGCCAGCCCTTCTTTCACTTGGGTCTCCTTTCAGCCAGCCCTTCTTTCACTTGGGTCTCCTTTCAGCCAGCCTTCTTTCGCTTGGGTCTCCTTTCAGCCAGCCTTCTTTCCTTGGGTCTCCTTTCAGCCAGCCCTTCTTTCACTTGGGTCTCCTTTCAGCCCTTCCCTTCTTTCGCTTGCGTCTCTTTTCAGGCAGCCCTTCTTTCGCTTGCGTCTCTTTTCAGGCAGCCCTTCTTTCGCTTGCGTCTCCCTTCAGCCAGCCCTTCTTTCGCTTGCGTCTCCTTTCAGCCAGCCCTTCTTTCGCTTGGGTCTCCCTTCAGCCAGCCCTTCTTTCACTTGGGTCTCCCTTCAGCCAGCCCTTCTTTCACTTGTGTTTCTCCATGCCTGCTGTGTTCTCTTTCATCCCTTTTTCTTGTACTCTTTACTTCTCTTTGCATTGTCTTCCATTTGCTTGCCTTTCCCTGATGACATAAAACACTATTTTTAAGTTTTCTCTTTCAATTTTTGATGTAAATTTATTCAAAAGTATCATTTTTTTAATGTCCTCAAAATTTCAATTTAAATATTTGTTTAATCAAGTTTTGAAAATATATTTCCAGAATATAGTTTTTACCACTATAGGTAGAACAAAATAGAAAATTTATAAATTTCTTTGAAAATCTTTTATTCACCTTCTGTTAGTTGAGTATCAGTTAAATTTGTAATTCTTATTTCAGATTTTATCATCTTCAACATTATCTAAAATATAATTATTAAACTTATTCCCTTTAATAATATTTTTCATTATTATAAGTTATTAAAGATTATTTTTCATCTCAATTATCACATTTGTAAATATTTCCTTTTTATTTATATTGTAGCAAAAATCTCTGAAAATCATTTATCATAAAACTGTTATAAGGCTTAAAAAGAATTTTTTATATTTTAATGTTTTTTCTTTCATGTAAATGTTCACATAGCTTTATCTATTTTTATTTTTCTTGTCGCCTTGTTTTTTCTTTATTTTTATTCATTTTTGTTAACTTGTTTTCAACTCTACTTTTTTTTCTCTCCCCTTTCTCTCTCCTATCAAAATATTAATCATAAACAAGAAATATATTGTGCTTGATACCTGAATTGATTTATAAATGCTTCCTAAAAGCAAATGCAGACGTTTAGAACCTCTTTCTTTACTTCTTATACAGAACCAATTCTGTGTAAAATGAATTATCTGAAATGTTTAAGTGCTTAATGTTTCGAGTAATAAATACAAAAACTTTCTTTTCTTTTTTTTTTTTTTTTTTTTTTGTTTTACTGCCAAACCTTCGTCAGGTAAAAAGAAAATAGGGTGCAAAAAATAATTCCAATTGAGAAATTATGCTATCTCCTGAAAATCTTTGCACTTAGATACAATTTCTGCAGCTTTTCCTGTATTTATGAACACTGTCAATAATCTAATGATAACATTTTTGTGAATTCAGTTTTCTATACAAGATGATTTTTATTTTTAGTTGCAAGAGAGACTTCTCGATGGATCACATTCTATAAAAGAAGAAAGTTTTTTTTAAATAAATTTTTTAAAGGGCAATTAGTTTTTATTTTATAGTGATTCAATGCAGTCAGCTTTTTCTTCAGGATTTTGTCAGTAAAAATGCAATTTACTTTTGAATGAGATCAGGTACTTAATTGTGGACTAAGATAAATATGAGCACACCTTTGTAATTATCTTGGATTATCTTAAACAGAAAACAGTATCTTATGTTTACTAATTTGGAGGTTTTCATTTTTATGTGGCCTTTTTAAAACTTGTATGAATATATTGAAAAGTGAATAATGAAAAACAATGTTTGGTAAAATATAACAATTTTGTAGAAGTTTTACAACAAAGTTTTAAAAATGATATATTATATATATATATATATATATATATATATATATATATAATGCATATTCTGAGGTCACAGTAAGTTTTGGGGATCCATCACATCAAACATTCTCTTCCATGGGTACAGCCAAGAGCAATTATTTCTCTCGCACACATGATAGGTTATAAATGTAGCAAAAGTTCTCTATTGTTTATCAGGAGATAAATATTATAAAAATATGATTTTAAGGTAAGCTTTATTTATTGATTAAAGGCTTTTAAATGCAATCTTCAGGCCTCAATATTGCATTTAAGCATGGAACACTGTTGTCACTTGGTGTTCACCTCGATGTCCCCTTTTTATTTACATGCACACTTAACCCATAAATATAGCATACCTTAAGACTATATTTTTATTATTTATATATATATATATATATATATATAATATTTTAAAATTATTTTTTGTTCTTAAAAAATTTTTTTTTTTGAAGTTAGGGGAAATAAAATAGGATAGAACAGGAAATAAGTTTCTTAAACTTTTGGAGAATAACAAATAAATCCAATTAGTTGATTTGTATGAATATAGTATGCATCATTTCCTATATTCCACAGAGATGTACTTGTAAACACCTGATTTTATGTTGTTATATAACACATATAGTTGCAAAAGAACAAATAAGAACCATAGTGTACTGCTGATGAAGCAGAAAGAAAAAGAGACAAGATATGTTACAATAAAAGTCCCTATAATGATGGTATAAAGGATCAAGGTGTAATGCCTTTGTCTGCACAAAGGAAGTGACCTGGAGGATGTTGGTAAGGCCGGGTATTGAAGCTTGTGTTGACCCAAGGCCACTGGTGAACTCAGTGACTACCTGTCAATTACCTTGAGTGTCGTGAGCTTGTCCTTTTAAGCAGTCAAAGTGGATACATGACTGTTTTCTGTCATGCTTTTACTTCAGCATTTTTTTTGTATTTTATATTTTTGGGGGATTTATTTTGTAAATCAAATGTGATGCTTGGAACCACTGTGCAGAGGACTATTTTATTTTTAATTTAACTTTTGTAGCATTCACATCCAGCTGACAGGTTTTGATGTGGAGTGAATCAGAAAGAGATCAAATTTGAATCATAGTATAACAGTATGTAAAAATGAATTTAATCCTAAGTGTGTTAGTTGAAAGGCATAAAAATTTAAATAATTATAAATACTATATGAAACTTTGCAGCATGATAATTTGATATAGGGTTTATCTTTTTATGTAAAATTCTACTTTGTTTCTTTCTTAGTTGGAATATCATTTCATTGGTAATATTAATGAAGATAAGTTTTTTTTCTTTGAAGTTGGTCAACTTAGGAAATATTTTCATGATGTCTGTTTCTTTTGTTAAATTATATCACCCACTGCAAAGCAGTAGACCCACTGAGACATAACAGGTTACTGAGTGTACAAGAAAACAGATAACAATTGACATTAGATTAACATTTTTGAAGATCAAAGTTGGCTGGAAAGTATGGCACCAGAAGAGAGTGAATTGATGATTTGCCACCAATCAGAAAAGCTAATGGTGGAGCTGGTTTAGATGCCAACCACCTGTCAATGCAGCAGGTTGGACTGAGTTACATATTACCAGGAACAAGCCTGACTTGATTTTCAGTTAGTTGAAAGATATTAAAATTGAAATAATTTAATTACTGTAGATGTTAAGATGAAACATGATAATTTGATGCAAATTTCCTTTTTATATAAATTATAAACTGACTGAATTCTACTTTATTTCTTTCTTTTGCATTGGAATATCGTGTTTCACTAGTAATATTTAATAAAAATAATTTTCTTTTTGAAGTTGGTCAACTTAGAAAATGTTTTCATGATGTCTGTTGTAATACAAGAGCATATTTACCATTTCTACTTGTGTATAAACCTACTTCATGTATAGTGCGACCCTTAAATTTATTGTGGAAAAACCTAATTTTTTTTTATATATCTCATAGATAATGCGACCCCAGCTTCTGACGCAATACTATTATCTTGTTGCCATGTTCAAATATTCTAGTACTGGGCATATTTTATAGCAAACAAATGATCTGCATTCTTTTTGTACAAAACTACTTCAAAATGGTGAGAAAAACCACTTACCATAGAATATCTAATACAAAGATTTAGATACCATACTTTTGTTTAGATTCATGTCTGACTGTGGTAGCTCCTTTACCTTGGACCTGCCTCCTACGTAATCTAAGTTTCTTTCCTTTTGTCACTACAGGAAGAGTAAAACCTCATCCATTATGTATGCCACTTAAAATCAACAAATACCTTATATAATGCATGATTTTTAACCTCTTCAAAAAACACTATATTTTTTGTGTAAAAAATATGATAAAAACTCACATTATGCTTGAGTATGTATGGTATTTGTTTTATCAAATTTAAAATGATATAAATTTTTTGTAATTATTCCCAATACACATGTAATAATGAGTACACTATTATTATTTAGATAATCATTCTTTATTTGAAGACATTAACACCTTTATGGATCTATTTAAATACTCATTATGAATTTTCAAAGCAAATATTCTACTGCTGTGAAGCTCTTCAGATTTGAAAAATAATGTTGTGGACTTACGGTAAAATTAGTAGGAGGCTGACATCACTCAAGGCTAACTTAGGATGGTGCACAGTAGGAACACTTATTTTGTATATTTTTACATCTGATTCAAGAATAAATATTTCATTTATCTTCCCCCCCCCACACTGAATATTCACAGCACTTATGTCTCATTTAGTCAATATCTTTGTGCTTTTTATCTAAACCACTGTATCTGAAAGTTCAGTATCTTTTCTTTTTTTTTTTTTTTTTTTATTGAATTTTTACTCCAGGTCTTTAACTTGAATATTCTTTACATAAAATAGAATTAAGAAAGAAACTTTAAAAGATTGTAGTAATTGTGATATTAGCCATTTCTTTTTTGAAAATAACAGTAATTCCCCGCCACACACTGCATACAAATCTTTCTATTTAACCCATAGCTAGGGGAGGAGATGGATTCTTACATTTTCCAAGTGTATTTGTAAGTGAGTGAGTGTAACAAATCTGGCTGGAACTCAAACTCTGCTCTCCAATTTCTCATTTGGAGCCACTATCCATTACACCACCTGCACATCCACCTTTCCACACAGGAAATATATCATTTATTGACCGAACAGTCAGCATTACTGTCTTTAGTTGAAATACGTAAAATCTTTTTATTTTCCTTTAAGTTTTTTTCAAGATATTAGACTTCTCAAGTCCACTGAATGTAGAACTCTTTATAATATTGATATGAGTTTTCTTCCTAACCTTTTACTTTTGGTAGTGTGGAAAACTACTAGCTTGGTTATATCATTATTTTCTCTTTTACTTACATGTGCTACGTACCTGGGACATGCTGGGTAGGGTTTACCATCTCAGTTGCATCTCTGCCTTTGGGCAGAGTGTGACCCAGTTGTGGCTCCATCAGAGGACAGAGGCACAAGTGAGAAAAATAATACTGTGAGTTGCCCAGCCCGGGGATCAGCTGCCTGAGGCTGCACCCTTTCATGGCGTTAGAGAGAGGGATTGATGTTTGCTACCAAGGCCAAT